TAGGCCGTCTTAAAGTTAGGCTCAGAAAAGTTGTTTTTTTTTTTTTTTTATGTTGTAGAACTGATTTTTTTAAAACCTAAAAAGAATATTTGATGAAAAACTTTGAAGCAGTTAATGAGATTCAGATTTTTTTAATATTTAAAAACTGGGGGGAATGAGACATAACCACCCTCTTTCTCCAGTTTTTAAATATTCAAAAATCTGTATCTCTCTCATTAACTGCTTCCAAGTTTTTTGTCAAATATACTTTGAGGCTTAGAAAGATTAGTTCTACAACATATCAACAGATTTATGTCCTTCAGTGCTTGGCTTTATTAAATAGAAATGCTACTTCCACATCAATAATTATATCTACCCTTGTCATATTTTCTTAAAACATAACATTCGTTTAAATATTTTTGTCTTGCCATATTATTGTATGTACATAAAATCAATATTTTCTTATTTATATGAGTAGCAATTATTTCAGTACTGTATTTTATTTTGTAGCTCTCTGTTTAGTACCTGAGTATATTTTTTCTTTAAAGTTTAAACTTACATAGGGGCCAATCACAATTGTAAACATAGTGTATTAAAAGTGTATTCGTTTTTGCTACCTCAACCCCTTTAAAAAGTGTACATTCATGGAAAATGTTGATTTTGCAATACTGTTCTCTATGGCCTTTTTTTCAATGGGTACATAGATACATAATTAGGTTTAAATAATCCATATTGGCATGTTATTAAATTTAGAAAACCGGTTTCAATCAATATTTTAAGCTTTTGTAAATTCCTTTCATTTAATTTTGTATTTAGTATCAGGCCCTTTCCCCCTTAGCATACTGTTTATACATTTGTTGATAATTATGAATGGTCCATACTGTGCAGGGTTATCCACCTTATGTTTTGAAATTTCTTTTTTGAGTCTTTCACATCTATTAAATTCGTGTAAAGTTAAATCTAATACTGTACTGTAATAATATATAAAAATATATAAAACTTTTTCTTTTATCTACACAACAAACATCATCGAGTCCTACCATCAAAAGCTAAAGCGGCACTGTCATGGAAACATGACATTATCCGAAAGCATTCGCCAAATTATGGAAATTAATTGTCTAAGAGATGACAAGCTAGACTATGAGAGGTTTCTCCAAGTTGTGTCGGCCAGACATATACATGGGGTCGACGGAGAATTGTCGAGGCGTTTGCAGACTATTGCAACGCCTTATGCAGCCGATCATATCATGCGGCATATTCATGCGGGAAAGCATATTAATTTCACTGTGGTTTCAATGGGCGAAAACAAGTACAAGGTCACTCATGATGATCACGAGTACAGCGTCAACATGAAGGCAGAATATGTCTCATGTACATGCAAATTTTATTCAACCATGAACTTACCATGTAGGTATATTTTTGGCTGTCCTGATGCCATTGATTTATTTGGACCAGACTGGATACCAGCAAGATGGAAAATAAACCAACACCAACTTAAAACAGCGTCTTGTCCAGAACAGGAAGATGTAATAATAAAAGTAGATAAAATGATGAGGAAGAAAGGAATGACAAGGAATGAGAAGTACAACGAAATGCACAGACTGCTGAGAACAATCTCGGATGATTGCGCTGACCAAGGTCACAAGGAATTCTGTCGCCGTTATGATGTTTTTGTAACACTTCAGAAAGCTTGGAGAGATGGCCAAGATGTATCTGTGTTAGTTGGATGCAGGCCCATTGACAATCAGGTTAGGTCACCATTCTTTTCTTTTCTGGTTTTCTTGGTTTTTATTTTAAGTTCATGTGAGGAGGGCGAAATAGTAATTAAATTTTGTTTCTTACTGTACAGTATTTAGCAAGTACAGTATTTGTGGCAAAAACATCCATACAGAAAAAAACGAAAAAAAGAATTTTCTGAGATTTCCATTTTTGGTTGCAGTGGGTTGACTAATTGGCCAAAAACTAAATTTTATTTTTATTCCAAATCATTAATCATGTGGCTGGTTTGCTTAACAAGGTATAAAAAAGTGATGCCTAAACATTAATATGTGTACAATTCACTATTTTTTAAATTTTATTTTTCATATTAGGGGAAACCTGTTCAGTAGGACATCTACTACTTTTTCCAGTAGTATAAATGACAACAATTACATTTGTAAAAACAAGCAACAAGCATAAAAAAATACATGAACATCAAACAATACATATAAATGGGTGGTGCGGTACAACTGCATTAGAATTTATACATTTATTATATAAATAATGTTTGCTTGGCAGACCAGTTTTAACAATATGCGGATTTTATTTGTAATTAAAAAATCAGCCAGACCCAGTTCCTCATAACAACGAAGATGGTGCTTCCGATACAGAACAGGTAATGAATTGGTCCATACAATTAGTGATTTGCATTGCAAACAAACCATCTTCTTTCAGTAAGTGCCTTTTAGTTTTTGGCTACATCATCTGTGGTATTAAAACTGGAAAAGTTAATCGAATTGAGGGTGGAAAAGAAACAGCTGGACTAGCTTGAATCTGTCAGTGTTAAATCTAGCAATATGATTGAGGGGAAAGGGAACGATATCCACAGATTCAGGTTCTATAACACCTCATTTTTACCTGTTAAAAAGAACACAGTGTCTATGTTTACGCCGATGTGTAGTGCTTTAAGATAGCCCGAGTTATGTTTTAAGGTTAGGGTAAAGACAAGCCGACCAATCAGCACGTTGGGATTTAGAATACATCGGCGTAAGCATAGCATCGGCCTAAAAAGAAAACTTGTTTTTATGAATGTTTATGCGCCTTATCAGTATGTTTGGCAGTACCATATGCAGTGCTCCAAAAACTACAAAGTACAATTCTTGTCAAGTACAGTTATACCTCTAGAGTAACCTTAACATTTATGTTAATTTATGTAAATTTATAAAGTTAATTTGTGTTACAGGTCGAAGATCATTTGGACCCAGTACCACTAAGCGATGAGGATGTCATATCTAATACAGAACAGGTAATAAATTGTTTTATATATTCTTATCTGTAGCCATATAAAAGGTCCAAGATCAATCGGATCCAGTGCCAGTGAGTGATGATGATGTCACCTCTGACCCAGGAAAGGTAGTGATTTGATTTATATTCTCTTAACATGTGGACTGGATATTTTTATGGTGATAAAATTACAATTTATTTTTTGTTACAGGTCCAAGATCTGTCGGACCTAGTACCACTAGGCGATGAAGATGTCATTTATAATACTCAACAGGTAAAGAATTGATTTACATATTCTAATACATGGCCATGTAAAAAGATTGCTAATTTATAGTTGCAGGTATAGCATAGCTGCACTAATCAAAAGATGATTAGAAAATATTAGGCCTAAATAATAAAACTTATACATTTATGTGGCATGTCTTATTTGGTTGCATTATTAGCAATTAAAAAAAAAATTTGCTATTCCACTCCAGTAAAATTCATCATATTTCAATTAATATGAATTTTTAAATTTATTGACATTTTTTTAGGTACAAGATCAGTCAAGCCCAGTACGACTGAGTGATGAAGATGTAATTTCTACAAAACAGGTAAATAATTGATTCATATACAGTACTCTAATATGCAGCTATATATTAAGATTAGAAATTTTCTACAAAACAATTTAAACTCATGGACATGGCATACCTACACTAATCAATTGATAATTAGAAAATAATACTTAATAAATATAGTATACTGTACATTTATGCAGGTTGGCTGCATCATTTGTAATATTGAAATTACAACTGCTTTTCAAGTAATGTTTTTATATATAAACCTATAAATTTATTTTCTGCCTGTTGTGTCCAGGTCCAAGGTCAGTCAGGACCAGTGCTTTTGTGTGATGATGTCCCCTCTGATACAGAACATTTACAGGTTAGTTCATGCAGTTCTTGATAACTACTACATAACTTTGGCAATAAAAAAGCTCAGTTTGGAAGAATAGCATTTGCTGTGTGTAAGAAAAAGTTTGTTGAAATATAACCATAGGTTTAAATTTTATATATTATTAGTAAATCTTCACTTTAAGCCTGGTCAGATTTCATTAAAAAGTTTTCTACCTATTGTTTCAGACCCAAGGCAATCTTGATGTCACTTCTAATGATGAACACATACCATTGAGCCATAACTTTTCGTCATCAAGTGTTGAAGAGCCTGGTTGTCATAGAAATACGCAACATAATAATGTCAAGCGGAAGAAGGTTTTGGATGAGTTACGTTCACGCTTAAAGTTGCAGTCTCATCACAAAGTTAGGGGACGGCCGAAATGTGGCAGGCAGCGTGTTATACACTATGCTGTAGTATAGGGCCTACCTATTTTAGGACTTTGTTTTTAAGATGCATGTTAGAAATAGTGTACTGTATAACTACAGTACTTTGTTATAGCTAATTTGTATACTGTATAATAATAGTATTAAGTGGTAGCAAGTTTTTTATCAATATTTATACCTTGCAATATAAACTCATGCCTTGCAATATTCTATTCATTAAACCACCAGTATTTATGCTTTGCAACATACTGTATTGTATAAAAACAAACATACCATATATAGTACTTGATTGTTTTATCCATTACACAATGAAGTACTGTATAATAATAGTATTAAGATTTTTAACAGTATTTATACAACTTGCAACATAAACTCGTACCTTGCAATAGTCTATCATTATTATGCTTTGCAACATACTGTATTGTATAAAAACAAACCTACCTTGATTGTTTTATTCATTACACAATGCAGTACAGTATTTGCATTGTATTTTTTTTTTTCATGCTCAGTTATAGATTACGTGGTATTGTATTAGCCAAATATTTTTATGCATGTTTCAAATAAACAATTTTATCAATATTTTAAACGAACGATCTCTTTCATTTATTAAATGCTTATTTTTTGCATATCTAAGTGATTGTTGTAGAACAGGGGTTTCCCATTATATCGCAATAGAAACCAAAATTGTACATTAAATAAATTTGCAGGCCCAGCTCACTTTTTAGTACTGTACCTCTGCATGTAATGCAATATGAACTCTTGTAATCACTTTTTTGTGTGTGTACACATTTCCAGGAAAAGTTTTCCGAAATTTTTTTCTGACAGTGACAAGCCTAATGGTACCCTTGGGATTAGTTTTCTAGTCATTCATCACTTTTTTCCACTGCACTCAATTCTTGGCAGACTGGCCTACCTTGCCTTTGTGGAAATATCAAGGTGTCATTAACATACTAGTCACACTAACATAAAAAAAAGGATTGTGTTTGCATAGTAAATAATAATTTTCAAATAAAACTGAATACAGTACAGTATTGTTATATTACATATTTTTATTCATTCATTTTTTTTCCTACACCAACATTTTCACCCATGTTTACTTCATGTTGTCTAGTAGGCCTATTAAATGGGCCGCCAATCGAGAACCCCTGCTGTGTAGAAGAATCATTGGTGAAATAAATGACTTGGGTCTTTTACCTTTTCAGTACAGTATTTGTGAACGCAAGCAAGACAACCACAAATTAAAAAAAGCCACCCATTGGGTAAATACAATACAATTATTGCAGCTCCCTATGATCCATCAGTGCTTTAATATATTATAATAGGCCTACTGTACATGTATCAATTAGCATAACTTCAATATACAGTAAATCTTAATTTCCAAAACTTTACTGCAGATATGTGTTCAGGTGGGCTGAGTGCAGCCTATTAAATATGCACATAAAATACGGTATGGTAATTTTGCATCAGTTTGGCACCCTCTCCTTCATATCTATGACAACCTCTGGTCAAACTCCCACAATGGTTGCTGCCTAGTAGGCAATGCGACACTTGTGAGATGATTTTGCTCTTCAACATAGATTTTAAAAATGATATTTTAATATTTTTATTCTGCTGGTCTGCCAACCAGTGTGACGAAGTGTCGTTGAGGCTTATGTTAGTGGGTTGTGATGAAAGACAGGAAGGAGTGAGATGCCAGTTGTTACAATTACTCAATCTATACACTGTATAGTAATTTACTCATCCATCAATCCCCAACGCAATTTCTTTCTCTTTTTTTTTTTTACTGCTGCTACTCAGTTATAATGCACATGGGTCAGGCCCAAGCCGAGACCTGTTTTAAGCTACATTCACACCGATTCCAAATTTGGTTCGTTTGGCTTACGAAATGAAAAAAAGAACATCGAATCAACGGTAAAGAATAGAGATGCGTACTAATAAGACGTGCATCGAAAACCGAATTCAGTGTGAATGTAGCTTTATTATTTCAACTTCTACGTTGATACTGGAACAGATTAGGGCTAGCCTATATATATAGGCCTGGCGCTATCTCCCAAAAATAGGGCCTACCTAGGGCCTAGATAGAGGCTTACATGTTGATTTACATGGGCCTAATCTAATTTAGTAATAATCGGGTCCAGACTAGGCCATAGACCGGAGGTCTGCTTTACAATTACGATGCCCTACAATTAACAAAGCCTAAGCTAGCACACAGTTTTAGTAACTGTTATGCCTAGGCCTAGGTAGAGCCCGGGGCCTAGGAAAGCCACTCTAGCCAGGCCGAGGCCTAGAGGATAGATTCTATTTCAGGCCTCTAGCTAGGGGCCTAGATAGTCACAAATCACCCTATTTTATTACTAGTTGGGCCTAGCTATCGCCAGTAATATGCTCTACCCAACTCCTAATCGTATTCCTATTAAATTAGTCTATTACAGACAGAATTTTCATCTACAACTTCTACCGTGGGAATAAAACTTTGTCGACAATTCGCACTTACCACGCTTAAAAATTTACCGTGCGAATTATAATAAGAACTTATTTGCACGATACCGTGCTAATAACCGTGTGAACAAGGAGTTATTGCCACGGTACCGTGGGAATAACCTCTTTCATTTTATTATCTATCTATATGTACAGTAAAATGCATCTGATGATTTTTTAAGCTGTGACCTCTCACTGTCTAGGTGAACATCATGTTTTTATTAAACATTGTATAAGATTTAGAGTCCACACCATTATGAACTTGGCTGAATTAAAACCGTTCACCTCTATTCTATGACATAAATAATGTCAAAACTGTGACATGCCAGACATAAATGCCCATCACTGATGATGATATAATTAATGCCAACCTGCGACTGACATAATTAATGTCAAAATATTGAATATTAAATATTAAATATTGATGATGACATAATGTAAGTAATGCCAACCTGTGACTGACATAATTAATGTCAAAATATTAAATCCCGACACAATGACATGCATTTTGATACTTGGAATATGTATTATACTATCTTATCTGAGATTAATCAGTGGCAATTCCAGTTTTTACAATTTTTTAAAATTTTAAAAATGTAAAAAAAATGTAATTTTTAGAAATTTTCGAATTTAAAAATTGTGGATAAAATATGCGATTTCCATCAATAATGAAAATGTTCTCACCTCAGCCACAACATGGTATCAGTGACGGCTCTAGGATATATTTTCTTGGGGGGTGGGGGGGCTAAGTTGTCCAACAGTGGGGACTTGAGCTCGTAGGCTCAAGCTGGGGGAAGGAATTGAAAGGGAGTTTCCCTCCCAAATGAGATTTTTTTTTTTTTCTTCATAAAAATCGGTCAGAGGGCAAAAGTGAATGTTTTATTTAACACTGAGGGCCGCACCCAAATTTTGGTGTTTCCAGTGAGCTTCCAAAAACCTCCAAGCACTGCTTTTGCATCACTTTATTCTCAGTTTTAATGCTACTTTTTACATTGTGATTGGCGGGCTGCAAACAAAGCGTTTTTAATTCACATGTCGCAGGCAGCAACAAAAAATCGCACATGTGATCCCTCTGCAGAATATAGTATTCCAAACAAAACATACATTTTGCCCACAAAATTTATTATATTATTTGGCCCTTCGAACTACTTAAGAACCCGGGCTATAGTAGTTTTAACCATGGACACATAAACATCTACAGTATGCTAAAAAGAAATGCAAAACTATATTAAACCCACATTGCAAACTAAATTTTACACTTTTTGGTAGCATATTTTCTATACATTTCTAAACATTGTTATGAATAAGTGACTGATTTGGCTTGTCTTTGCCACAAATAAAAAGAGTGTGGCATGAGTGTCAAATTAAAGGGGAAAGAACTTAACAACAAACTAAATTTGCAAAAAACTAAAGGTAACATTTATTGTTTTTCACTATCATGGTTAAAATATCATAAGGAGTAGGGAAGCTTAAAAGCAATTTTAATAAATGCAGACACGATTGACAAAAGCACTAATTTTTTTTTTTTTTTTTTGACTTAATAAATGTCTATGGATGGGGGTTCCCAAACATCAGACCACCCCATCAAAATTGCCAACACTATCTAGATTAAGTGTATTTAGTGTTAAAACCTATGATCAGTCATTAAACAATTTGTCAAGATTCTATGTTTAAACACATGTAATCTAACAATTCTTGTGCACTGTAAGGAAAAGTATAAATATTTGGCCCTTGCGATTGAATAAAAGTCTATTAATGAATTTCGTATGTACTTTTTGAATCTATTTGGTTACCATGTACATTATGAACAGCATTCTTTTCCGACATAAATCTCTATCGAAACCTTGTTTCACGATTTCTTTCCAATTTTGTGGAATAACGTTTATGATACTCATCAACCTTATTATTATAAGTATTATAATACTTATTTGATATGAAAAATGCTTGAAAACATTTTATTATTCCATCTGTATTATACAGATCACTGACAAGTCTAATATCATTTTTAAAAAGATATTCACCAAAAAGTGTTCTACCATTTATTTTAACAAATTTATAAATAATTGTTTTCACTTCCTTTATAACATTATTTGGAAGGGAAACACTTGATGGAAGATAGACAAAATTGGAAATGCCGTACAATTTTATTAATAAAATTTTTCTAGCCAGCGTCAAATTTCTGTTTCAGCTTTGTTTTAATTTTTAAATTTTTCTGCAAAATTTGCTTTTGCCTGTTGATCATAATTATGTGAAAAATATATATACCAAAAACATACCATGTGGAAATAACTTACATTACGTTATATTTTTAAAAGTAAGTGTAACTGATTTTCTTAGAATGATGGTGCCTTATTCGTAATTCTAATTTGAAAATCAAACTGACAAATTACAGAGCCCATACCCTGTTTTTGTCTTCTGCTGCACATACACAATATAGTACTGTAGGTATACAATTGGCCGTATACATATACGATATTTTCACAACTATTTTGTCAGCTATTATAATTAATATTAGCGGACCCCTGCGTGGACCCTCTGTTGGGGAATTTCCAGCAAGGCCATCAGGGAAAAATTAAATCTTGAACACTGCAAGTCAGTTTAGGTCTGCAAACTGTTGGCTGGTACCTCCGACAGGTGGTTAGTACCACCGACATAGAGGGCCTCTTAACTTACATGGTTTTCTATCAAATTATCCTTTTTAAATAAAGAATCCCTTTTAAATAAAGACTACCAAAATCAACACAATATTTCCCCGACGGGGTGGGTGGGGGAGTGGTGTGTTGCAAGGCTTCCCCCACGTTGGGAGGGGTGGGCTCTCGTCAGGAATTCCTGGTGCCGCCCCTGGTTCTATTTTAAATACGACTACTCTATTTACAGGTAGAGGTGTCTTTGCTACTGAATTTATAGAAAAGGGGGAATTTCTCACTATTTATAATGGTGAAATAATTTCAAAGGAAGAAGGAGAAAGAAGAGAGAGCAAATCAAGTTCAGGTTTTAGATTTTTTTTATAAATCTACTAATCCAAATTGCACAACCTTCGAAATATGGTAAGAATTAATTTTGATATTAATTTTTTTCTTTTAGTTTATGTTGATGACAGAAGAATTTGAAATTTTTAATAAAAGATGGAATGTTTTAACTAATAACTTAACTAAATAATTTCAAAGCATGTTCAACTTAATTTATCCTGAAAAATGTGCAATATGTACAGTAGATCAAAACTCATTAGCCTCCCCAAGAGCGAAGCTAAGGGGGTGGGGTATTGTTTTTGGACATGTACTTACTCACAACAGTGCCGATGACGACAATGTAGATGACGATTGCGGGATCTGTGTACACTGAAAAATAGGACACAATATCCAAGACCCATTAGTATTTTTATGTGGGATACTTGCCTCTAATAATGTGTGTTTCCAGGGTGCTTGTCTCAGTCCCATAAGTATTTCTATGTGGGGTACTTGCCGCTAATAATGTGTGTTAAATATTGCAATGTCAGTCCCAAAAGTATTTTATGTGGGGTACTTGCCTCTAATGATGTGTGTTTCCCAGGGCGCAATGGGTCAGTCCAATAATTATTTTTATGTTGGGTACTTGCCTCTAATGATGTGTGTTTCCAGGGTGCTTGTCTCAGTCCCATAAGTATTGTTATGTGGGGTACTTGCCTCTAATAATGTGTGTTAAAATGTTACAATAAGTCAGTCCCATAAGTATTTCTATGTGGGGTACTTGCCTCTAATAATTGTGTTAAATATTGCAATGTCAGTCCCAAAAGTATTTTATGTGGGGTACTTGCCTCTAATAATGTGTGTTAAAATGTTGCAATAAGTCAGTCCCATAAGTATTTTTATGTGGGATACTTGCCTCTAATTATGTGTTAAAATGTTACAATAAGTCAGTCACATAAGTATTTCTATGTGGGGTACTTGCCTCTAATAATGTGTGTTAAATATTGCAATGTCAGTACCAAAAGTATTTTATGTGGGGTACTTGCCTCTAATGATGTGTGTTTCCCAGGGCGCAATGGGTCAGTCCAATAATTATTTTTATGTTGGGTACTTGCCTCTAATGATGTGTGTTTCCAGGGTGCTTGTCTCAGTCCCATAAGCATTTTTATGTGGGGTACTTGCCTCTAATAATGTGTGTTAAAATGTTGCAATAAGTCAGTCCCATAAAAATTTCTATGTGGGATACTTGACTCTAATAATGTGTGTTAAATATTGCAATGTCAGTCCCAAAAGTATTTTATGTGGGCTACTTGCACTGAGCAACAACACAACATATCAAACTTCTTGAAATTTGACTGTTTTGTACGATCGCCGACCGCCGCAGTATATTCCAACATTGAATCGATTAATAGTTAATACTCTAAACAAAGTCATGTTAACTATTGACAACGATGGCTTCTAGGCTTGCTTGGCTTGGCCTAGCTTTGCTATGATGAACCAAGGCACGCATGAGAAATAATACTGAGGCTAAATCAAATTTTGCCTTCGGTGCCATTTTATACTTGAAATTTTGGCCTTGTTGCCTTTCAAAATCATGTCATACCGGAGGCCATTTGGCCTTGCCCATAAAATCCCCAAATTCGAGGCCTGCTAAATTTATAGCTATTTACCAACAAAATATCTTGCAACGAATAGCTCAATACCATAAACATATAATCCAGATTGATAAAATTGAAAATAAGTTGATATAATTGGTAAAAGTGTCTATACTACAGTATTACAACACTACGGTAACTGACGTTACATACTTTCAATATAAATTTTCAGGACTTTATTTTACTTTATCTGCAAATAATAGACATGGGCTATTTGAGGCATAGGTAAGGAGAAGAATTATGAAATACCCTCAGCCTTTCATTTAGACTTGCTACAAGTCTCTAATTTATGGATTTTTCGTAGTACATTAGCGCATTTCAGAAAGCGCCACCAGCGTCAGTTTATGTTGAGAAACTTTTTTGATGAGAATTAAAGACTTGTAAAAGAGTGAGTCAAATCGAATGCAGACTGCTGGCCGTCACAAGCATGACATAATTTTTAGGATGCCGTATTTGGCAATAGGGTGAATGTTATGACGGAAGGTCAACCATTCAAACGGTTCTCGTTTTGGTGCCACGAATGTAGAGAGAAGTCGGGAAGTTGGGACATGGTACCGTACGTGCATATGGCAAGCCATTTTATCATTCACCTCTGAATTGCAGTTAAGTCGAATGCATTACAGTTAACTGTAATTCAATTACAGTTAACTTGAATGCATTTCAAGTTAACTGCAATTGACCATTTTTGGTAATTTCATTAAGTGATTGTGATTGGCTGCTGTATTTGAGTTAAGTGCAATCGACCATTATATTCAATTTCCATTAAGTGATGGTGATTGGCTGTTGAATTTTCCACCTGTGAATCGTCATCGACTGCCTAGAGCTAGAGAAAAACTTTTTAATCCTTTTGCTATACGGTTTAATTGTGTTTAAGTGGTTTATTTTAAAAAGTACGAAGTTACCCAAAATTTAAAAAGTGTTATGTCTGAATCTGGGAGGCATTTGGAGCAAGTGGCTAATGTGGCTTCTCAAGCTATTGCGCGTGCCAGAGACCACGTCAGGCATAGGCCTAGACCCTCTACTACTACTGCTGCCAGTGCTACAAGTAGGCCTAGTAGTAGTAATAGGCCTACTACCACCACGTCTTCTAGGCCTAGGCCTAGTAGTACTACCACCGCGTCTGCAGGACATCATTTAGCTAGCACTGGTGGCAGTAGTACTGACAGTGGTACTAGGTCTAGTAGGGGGCCTATATCTGCAACAACAGATGAAGGGGAGGATTCTTTTGACACTTCCAGCAGGTAGGCCTAGCCATTTTCACTAAAACAAAATAATTTAGTTTCTTTATATTATTAAGAAATAGCCTAGGTAGGGGGAGAGGGGCTAGGTTAATTGTTATGGATTTACAGGACCGTAGCCATCAATTTGAAAATGGTCAGGTTGGGAGCGAAGTGACAAACCCATGGCTGGGGGCCAAGGGCCCCTGGTCGGGTCCCAGGGGCCGAAGGCCCTGGAGACAAGGGCCCCGGTGGCCCCGGAAAAAAAATTAAAACTTTAAAATTGTCAGTAATTATGAACTATATAACAGACTTAATTTTTAAATGAATATAATCGTCATATATTATAGAAATATGTTAGTCACTGGTATTTAATGGCAAAGGTGTTTTTTCTTAATTAATTTCTTGAAATGTACTCGTTTGCAATTAAGTTTAGGTACAGTCCATCACATAGATCCTGATGGTAGTTCAGAATCATCAAATGATTCAATCTTTCCTGTGACATTTTGTTATCCTTTCAATTTGTCATTGTTACAGACAGTATAGAAAAGCTTGTTGATTTGAGCTATATCAACTATTGCAATGACCCACCTTATGAAAAAAAAATGTTGTTTATTTAAACCATATTATAGACATACATTAACAGTTGTTTAAAATACTCTTCTATTAAGTAATCTGTGTGGAAAGTGGTATACCTGTCAAAAGTAGCCCTTACAAAAAAGTATATATAGAATTCTATAGAACTCTATAGAGGCGTTCATAGAATTCTATGTAACTCTATAGAAATGGATAAATTTTATAGAAAAAGTTTTATAGAACTTATAGATTCTATATAACTCTATAGAATTCTATAGAAAAAAAATCATGGGTTCTACATAACTCTATAGAATTCTATAGAAAAAAAAGAATTTATGGGTTCTACGTAACTCTATAAAATTTTATAGAAAAAAAATTAACATACATTTTTTTTTTGCATTTACTGGAAATTGTTGTAATTGTAATTGTTAACCAAATATTTGCTGGAGACCACTTTAACTCTTTTAGACGGCTTATTTTTAGATGTCAAATACATGTACTATATTCAGACACAAAAACATAAAACTCAAACATTACAGAATGTATATCATAATAAATATTACTAGTTTATTAAAGAAAAATCAAATCAATGACATAATATTGTCAACAATGGTTAAAACCAAACATTAAGACATTGATCAAATTCATAATTATTTGGCAAAACAGACACAATTGTCTCAGGAGCAGACACAATAACTGTACATTTCTTATAAAATTCATTTACAGAACACTATCTGTAACGGAGATGACCCTTAACCCTTAAAAGTCCTTCATGATTTACTTTTTTACTTAGCACTTCTATGGAAGGAGTAATTTTTTCAGTGCTTAAAATTGATGTATACAAAAAGCACTTCTTTTCACAGCCACACAAATTTATTTGATTGCAAGACAAGCACAATAAAAATATTTTTTTTACTAAAGCTATTGTTTTATCTTTTAAGCAAACATAACAATCGATGCAGTTTCTCATTTTGTGCATTTTTATTTCAAACATTCCATCAAAACAATTGAAAGAAACATGAGGCAAAGTTCTACATAACAGAAACTTATAAGCAATTTGTTTTTGAACATACTGTGTCTCAGTCACCATTTTGCCTAGTTTATGATTCATGCTTTCAAATGAAAAACATGAGATTGACCAAAGTAGTCCCCAATCCCTGACAGAATCTACAAGATGTGTCAGTAAGTGCATATTATATGTTATGTACTCCTTGCCATATAGTTTCTCGCAATCAAGCACAAATTTCATAAGGAGTAACTCTGCTAAATTAATCATATTTTCACCAGCATTCTCATCAAGTAATATAAACATAGCAGTTACAAGTTTCATCCAATGGTTATAATAATTTGACGGTACAGTAGCTGTCCTTTTAAAGCAACTGGTGAATAATGCAAAAGCCAAGCTCTCCATTCATGGGCTTTCCAATATTTTCTATTACTAAGTGCTCACACCATTTTTCACACCATTAACAGAAGAATTTGTATCAAGAGCTCTCTGAGCATCACATATATATGACTGATGATCTCTTTTCTGTGGTAGTTCATCTTGTAGTGATGGGTAGACATTTGTATGCCCATTCCCTTTGGCTACCTGTTCACCTGAATGGTAGCACCATGAACAGCCATGTCTACCATTATATTGCGTTAGTTCTTGTAGCTGACATCTTGCTACGCTATCGCATGTTAATGCACCTGGGAAAACTTTTCGTGTTATAATATTTCCATCTTCATCTTCTAAGTTCAAACCAACAGAGCTCAGAACATTTAATTCCTCTATGACGGGCTTTAAGAATGTAGGAAAGTGTGGTTTTCCATTCCCAACCACAAACCACCCATAAGAACATGCTTTCTTCTCAGCGGGTAAGGTAATTCATTAACCATCATTGTCAATTGCCATATGGAGTAGCTGGAAGATTTAAATATTGCTGCCCCATCAGAACCCCATGTGATGCTTATGTCATGATTTCCCATTTGCAAATTCTTGTAGCATTTCGCATTATGGAATTCAGAATTCTCTTTTTTTAGTTTTGACCTTACAGAAGAGTCTTCTGCACAGACTCCATCAAAAGCTTTGTTGAATACATACTTTGAATGAGGAAAAGGTGTGCCTTCTGGTAGGTGGTAACGAATTACCTTCAGCATGCTATCTAATTCTTCTTGACTATTCCCAAAACGAAGAAAGTGCGCCATAATTAGAAGTAGGCTATCTTTTTTTGTTAATTGTGCTCCTTCATATAGCAAATCATCATCCTGAAAAGAAAAATGTGTAAAGTAATGTATATGTACAGTATTTTTTGCAATGCATAGCTGAAATTAAAAGACATGTAAAAGTTGTGTATAATTGTGTCCAAATAGTTACTATTAACTGTTAATGAATGAAGAAATAACCATAATAAAAGTATGTTAAAATTCAAAAAGTAAAGACTTATTAAGAACAGTCAGATATAATTGAAACCAGACCGACCGATGTCCCTATGCAATGAATTTTTTTTCTAGGCCAAGCCTAGGCATAATGTTGAGTAAGCACTAGCTTATACTACTAGGCCTAGAGTAAAAGTCAAGACAAAATGTAAAATTATCTTTTCTGCTCATGAAATTGTATTGGTGATGTGGTTTGCCATCAGCGTTTTTGTATTTGTTAATGAACTTAAATGTCGCTGATTTGAGAGAACCAAAGAGTTATTACTAATAACGTGGCCTCGTTCATATGGGGCGGAACGACCTGAGACGACATGATCGCCAGTGGAAGCCTCTCTGATCCAGTCATCTAGACGCGTATACCATCGTACTAAAATCATAAGACTATAGTCACAAACAACTACAAGTCACCTCTAAGC